ACTGGAACAACTTTTGATTATGATTGTTCTACATAAAACTTAAGTAGAACAAGTCAGAACTATCGTAAAAACTGCCAAAAGTTATCGGCACGTCACATTTCCGCCAAGTGACGTGCTGGTAGTAACAGTTAAATTGTTTAAAAAACGTTTGCAAGCCGGAACAACTTTTGATTATGATTGTTCCACATAGATCTTGAGCAGAACAAGTCAGAACTGTCGTCAAAAATGCTGAAAATTATCATGACACTTTTTCGTGGATTAAGATTAAATCAAAGCTGTTTAAAAGTTATTAATTGTTGGAATTTTGACCTGAAACTTTATATAATAACGTATTTTGTTTAAAATTAACCGGAACACTTAACAAATGTTGCAATATTCAATGGATTCTGGTACTTTAGAGGAAGATGTGCCTGCTAGAACGTGAAGTTAACACGGCATTTCTTTATTTTCAATTTTTTGTTATTAAAAAAGCGGAACATTTATTGGTATTTACAAGAACAGTAGAACAATGAAAAGTACTGGAACAACCATTGTGTTTTGAAATTTGTACGACAAATCATTGATTGCGCTGAACGCTGGATGGAACACTAGATCCGACATGGAGGAAGGATACTTTAATTTTTGCGTACCGCTCAACATGTTGTTGGACTTTTGCGAAGATTATAAACGCGTGGTCGTTAACGCTCATCACGAATTGATTTTGATACGAGCGCGCAACGATTACAATTGTTTTATGGGAAATTCTGCGACGGAGCCTGAGGTTGAATTATTCAAAGTACAGTGGCGGATGCCTCACGTTACGTTAAACGAGACGAATAAATTGTCGATGCTGCCAGCATTGGAAAGCGGTCGTTATCTGAGCATGAGTTTTCGCTCGTGGGATCTGTATGAGTATCCTCTGTTACAGAGTACTACCAAACATTCATGGGCCGTCAAAACGGCGATTCAGCTTGAGAAGCCGCGATACGTTATCTTTGCTCTGCATACCGGTCGAAAGAATATCATGTCTCGAAATGATAGCCTGTTCGATGATTGTAATTTGAGCAACGTGAAACTTTATTTAAATTCAGAGTTTTATCCGTACGATGATTTGAATCTGGATTTTGGCAAAAAGAGATACGCCGTTTTGTTTGATATGTACACGCGTTTTCGTAAAGCCTATTACGGAATCGACTGTTTCGAAACGCTTCTCAAAGTGCTCTCGTTTATCGAGAAAGGGCCTTTCGCGGTTATTGATTGTTCGCGACAAAACGAATCCGTTAATAGCGCAACCGTGGATGTATGCATAGAATTTGACTGCAAGGAGAATGTGCCTGTCAATACTACCGCATACTGTCTTATCATACACGATCGTGTAATCGAATACAGTCCGTTGTCTAACGTAGTCCGCAAGATCATGTAAATTGCAACATCAGCAACAATTTAAAAGAGATTACCACTGATATGAGCACAGTTTTGAATAAATGTTTGTCATGGTCATACCGACGTTTGTGGATCTGCAAGGATTCGTCGTCGGCAAAAAATTTATCGTCAAGGAAGTGGCGGTGCTGAGAGGAGGAGCCATTCTCAAT